GCTGTGTGGCACAACATGTCGACTGACTTGTGTAAAAGTGCGACTACTTGTATATCGAGTCTCGAGACGTAAATAGAATTTATCTGCAGTTCGTACAACACACTCACATTGAAATTGTCGCGCGGCATATCTGCACAGAAAACCTTTTATATCATCAGATTACAGTGAATGGCTAAGGAAACTTGCGCTCGTATTGATGGAATTTTCACAGTTCGAAAACGTCAGCATTTACACTAAAGGGAATACAAAAAAAAACGTCGAAAGTACGAGAGTTTTATGTAGAAACTTCTTTGCATAATAATGATAAACGTTATATTCGCGAATTGCAATCATTTTCCATATCTTATGAATGTCGTTTTCAGTGAACACCAGTTACTTTATTATTGATGAAGTGGTATTAGACTGAAAACGACGCGCATTAGAGTACCTATTATTTTTAAAAAAAGATCTAATTGAACGCGGATATTCTCCATGCTTCTAGAGTTTAAATCTACGCTAAATTGCAATGTAACTTTCACTCGATTCCATGCGCTCTCTGTAGTTGTATGCGTTTAGAATTCATTCTATCCATACGTCAGTTGCGAATTAAAAGGAAATGGAGATCGCTGAACGGCGCGCTATTATGTAACTGCACAAGAGGCGCGTTTCAAGGCTGCTTTCGGGTTGACCTAAGCAGAAAATGGCAAATCTTCGTACAGGCGGCAAAAGGCCAAAGGCTTTGAAAGCTCGCTTACGTCGGTTACCGTCTGGCAAATTGTGCTTAGAAATGTTTTATGTACCATCCAGTTCGTCGTAAACCTGCACGCTCTTTCTCTCTCATCCTCTCTCTCTCTCTCTCTCTCTCTCTCTCTCTCTCATCGGATATTCCTGTGGGATGAGCAAGACGAGATGAGCAAAAAGTCAAGAGAAAAGCAAGAAGGATGCTGCCCTTTCGTTTCATTCCTTTCACTATTCGTACGTCAGAGACGCGTTGATTTCTAAGAGCACCGCTACATTGCCAGTACTATCCTTTGTTGTCTCGTAATTTCTCGTTGCTTGCGGCAGAAAGAGCGCATCTCTTGTGCTTGGAAACTTTGAAACAAATTTGGTTATCTTGCTGCATATTGCGTTGATTGTTTTTAGAGAGATGTGCCGCGCGAAGATTTTAATCCAATCTCAGGTAGTTTAATTTCAACGATAAAATACTTAAAAACGAGATTTGCTTCAAAGTTGTATTTACAGAATATTTTAATTAAGTTTTGATCAAGTTATAAAATGAATATAATATATGTAAATACATAAATATATATTTTCAAAGATATTTTTAATATTCACCTTAATTCTATTAAGTGTAAAATTTATTTTACTATTATTATTCTTATAATTTATCTAACAATAAGTGTTATCGTTAAAATAATTATTTTCCATATTTATTTAGACATCGTTACGATCGCAAGCAATGCATCAAATTTAAGCCATTTATTTATTATACTATCACTGTAATAATATGACACGATAACGCGTCGAGCACGTAACATTCCTGTTCTCGTAATCTCAGTAGTTAGTTAAGAGTTCGGAACTATAAAATTTTCGTGGCTAAATTATGAAGGTTTCTGACCCAGAGGGTAAAACGTAGAAGCTAAAGAATATTTAATTTTCTCCGGTGGAGGTGCACTATAGATATAAAAGGCGCGAAACGATAACCACGGATGAAGGAGAGATGTATATAAACGATAAAAGGGAGGAAGTGAGCGTATTTCTAATTTATATTTAAAAGCCCTCTATTTCTTCTCCTAATCTTCCGGAAAAATTACAGCTTTCGCAATTGCTATCAATTTGAGATAATTGTACCGTATATATATAGACACTGTTTAAATTTGGAAATGTCAGAATTTAATGTACCAAATAAAGATTTTAAACAAGAGAGATATGTAGTTGATCTTTAATTAAATATTTTTTTTCAAAAATATTTTCACATATTGCACTTTTTGTTGTATAAATTTTAATAAATTTCAATTAAATAACTGTACCAATTATCGAAAACATTTAATAAACGAGCACAATTTTTGCGATAGTTATTGTGAAACACTTTATTTGTAACACTTGCTCAAATTGTTCATACTATAACAACAATATCGAATCAAGTATATAAATACAGTTTGAAACAAAATATAACAAAAGGTCTAATATTATCGTTATCCATATATTTTTTTTATATTATACTATTTTCTAAAAATTTTCTAAAACTAAAAGGAAGAAGATCATTTCATAACATCCCATTTTTTGCAATTATCGAAAACATTTAATAAATGAGCACAATTTTTGCGATAGTTATTGTGAAACACTTTATTTGTAACACTTGCTCAATCTGTTCATTCTATAATAACAATATCGAATCAAGTATATAAATACAGTTTGAAACAAAATATAACAAAAGGTCTAATATTATCGTTATCCATATATTTTTTTTATATTATACTATTTTCTAAAAATTTTCTAAAAATAAAAGAAAGAAGATCATTTCGTAACATCTCATGTTTTGCACAAATGAACAAATTTGAAGCGCGAGATTCAACAATAATACATAGTAGAAAAAAAACGGATTAAGTTGATTAACATATCACATTCCGGATTAGAAAATCAATCGTTATCAGCCGCTTAATACCCCCTAGAACTTTGTCTATCCAGCGTCTCTCCTCCATACAGAAGGATCATGTCATTCTAGATCCGAGGTGGTTACCCTCTCGAGAGGAGAAGGATGCGGCGACGAATAATTAATGAGGGAGGCGAGAGAGGTCCTCTTCCCGGGAAGAACATACGTTTAACGATCCCCTCCAGGTTGCTAGGGTTAGAAGTGCCCGCTCCGATAGCGAAGGGACGCCGAGGACCACCTTGTAGGTGTGCCTCCTCGGAGGCACGTACTTCTATAATTGTTGGGGTGGCTCGGAGACAACCTTTAACGGCCATCTCGTACGCCGCCCTTGTGGGGGAGACTTAATGCGTTTTTCCAATCCGGTCGTTATACGTGCGCCATCGTCATCGATTAAACGATACCGATGTCGTATCGGCTCGGGGCATTCGAGAAATTCGAGCAATTCGAGAAAATACTTCGCCCTGAGAGATTTCCTTCGAGTGGATGAATTTCTTGCTTTATATCGAATTTATATTATAGAGCGTCTCTTTAAGAGAAACATTGCGTGATTGAAAAAATATGAAAACGGAAATCATGTTCACTCTGCAATTTATATATGTAATGATTCTTTTTTATTTGATGAGAGAAGAAGAAATATCAAAGAAAGACAAATCGCAAAAAGAGACATTGAGAATAACATGGGAAAATTGAGACAAATAGACATGAAAAGTTTAGAAAGAATCAGCTGATATAGATGGATGAAAAGTTTAGATGGAATTATCTTCTGAAGCAAGATAAGTTTATGGCTACCGGCCAAACTTAACGTATAAATGGCATATGTGACTCAATTTTGAAAGAAACCGAATTTTTATTAAACTTGATGATAGAAAAATAATATAGACATTAAAATAAACAAGGTATTGTTCAATTGTGAAATAAAAAATTGAATGATATTTTGAATTATATATTATTCTTTCACGACTTTAAAAACTGTGAAAATATTTAATAACATGAAAAATATTGAAATGACGTGAAAATATTGAATTATAATTAAATCTTTCATTCACATATCTATTAAAAATCTTTACTGGAATAATTCTAACAAAACAATATAGAATTTTGAGCGTGTAAAATGCATACAAGATTGCATACGTGTATCCTTTGACACAGCCGCGATTATTATGTGTCAATTGCAAGTCCGAAAAATGAGAAAAGTTAACAATGTTTAACAGACGAAGCTGTAAACCGCGATAATGCATTATCTTGTTTGTAACGCTATACAAACCTGTATGACCCACCCAAGTTGCGACGATTTCGGATTACGAATTTTGATGTATGTCGATGCAATAATTCACTTATCATCACAACGACGTGCTTATTCGATCAACAATTGATGACGACATCGATAAAACGTAATATTTATATGCAACACGAAGTGACAATATTTAACGTTTACGTGGACAAAACGTTACACATTACGCGTGTTTATGCAGGAAGCATTGCAACAATGGTCGGACTGATCGTCGACGCATTACACGCTTACGCGGTCACGAAAGTTATTGTTGAATTCGAAATATTTCCGCGCTAACAATCGAGAATGACAGTTGAAACGACCGGAAGCGAACATTGCTTTTTAAAGCAAATCAGGTGGCAGTATTCGGGGTTAATGACGACTGACATAATTGATCAAATAAATGGATAGTTGGATACCGATTAACTGGGAGTCGATTAATTGCGCTATCGGCTGATTACTATCATTTGATGAATTAAGGTCGATCGACTCCGATTGCTCCTGTACAATCGCTGTGTATTTTGATCTCAAAACATACGTTCCGGAAATATGGTAGAACAATATTACGGTTAAAAATTGAATGGCAGCAAAGTTGCTTGAGGCAATAAAACGTTAGATCACGATAGAAAATAAACAAAATATTGTATGGTATATTAGTGCATTCAGTTTTTTCTCAATTTTATTTTTCAAATATTTTAATTGGACAAAAAATCGACCTAATAATGTAAATCATATTATTTATACGTCATTGATAAATAAATCAAAATATGATTCAAATTGCCCGTTAATGAAGGATTAACATTCATTTATGAAGTTTTCCAAGTTTTACTTTCTATCGGACTAGTAATATATAATATCTCAACTTGTTTTATTGAAGCTCTTTAACGCTATTAATGTACAATATATCAGTATTAATCTATAACGTAATATAATTTATTTCAATCTCGTAAATGTTTTGCAGTCTTGTAACACGGATAATATTCCCTTAGGAAAATAGATGTGCAACATTTGGATAATCGTATCAATTATTCGAATCGGCAAATCGATGACCGGATTTCGGGCGGATAGAATCTAATCGGGCATTCACTTTGGTTGCAGGTCTCCTGGATACGTAAGAGGGATTTGCATATTCTGACGTCATCAATTCACGCTTACACTGGAGACGCAAGATTTTCCGTTAAGCACCCCGAACCATCAGACGAATGGACATTGAAGATCAATTACGTCCAACCGCGAGACGCCGGGGTTTACGAATGCCAGGTTAACACCGAGCCCAAAATGAACTTAGCCTTCATGTTAAAAGTCGAAGGTAAAATCAAGGTCGTAAAGTTTCTAGAAATTTATCAGATAACCCTTTCATGGATCGTTTAATTAAAAAAAAAAAAATGTATATACATATGAATTTTCGAATAAGTTTTATGGCGCAAAAACACACACACACACACACACACTTTTTCTCTCTTTCTCTAAGAAAGAAAAGAACCAATCACATATTAAAAATATATACATGTATATATTAATATACTCTAAATGTAGATTTTAATATGCATTTTAACGTAGCAGTTATACAATCTGTGTATATATATTATATTACAGTATCATTTTCTGAATATATTTCAAACTAATTGATTTCATAGCAATGTAATAAAATATTTTAATCCCCACTTTAAATTTTACAATATTTGCTTTCATTAAATCAAGCAAGAAACTATGAAAGGGTTAAATTAGATTACGTAATGATTTTATGCCGCTGTAAATATTTTGCGTAATTTACGATAGATGAAGAAATACGTGAACGCTTTTGTAAGTGTCCATCACCTGATTGATCAGGAAAGACACTGCTGGATATTCGATTACGCACCAGCATGACTAAAGTGATTAATGCTTTCGCTTGCATGTCTGTCACGTGAAAAACATTCTAAAGTATCGATTAGTTTTGTTGCATCTTCATTTTCAATCGAGTAATCGCAGTCATTTTGATCACCAGCGCACTGTATCGATTTCGTCTTTCAATATGTAAATATGTAAATATCTTATATGTACATATACGATTATATTTAAATATCTCGACGATTAAAATTTTTTCATTAAAAGAATTTATTTGGACGCGTCTTCTAATACGAAATACTTGGTTATCAATAAATCTAATTTCATTAATTTGGTTGCCACTTAAACTCCTAAAGATCTTAAACAGGATTAAATACAATTATAATTTAATAAAATAAATTAATTTTCGTCATATTAATACAAAAATCTTCAAAACACTAAACTAGAAATCGCGAAAGCTCCATAATATCGACACACGTGCAGAAAAGGCACAATAAAAGAAAGAAAACAGAATGATAAATAAATGATTTCGTTGACAACGTTTTTATCCCTCTATTCAAAACTTCGCAGGCACACTCGGTCCATATATATATCTATATATATATATATATATGTACATATCCGTAGTGCTTTCGACGTTAGTTCAATTCCCTGCCCCGAAACAATAGATCTCGACGAAATCGATTAACTCGATATCTTTTCTGTCCTCCCATTCCAGAAAGTGCCCCTGTCCCTGCCACCACCACACCGAACGCCATTCACCGGACGTTCAACTCAGGTTAGACTCACGCAAGAGCAGACCCTTTTCCAAGCTAAATATTAAATTTGCTAGCCAGCTAGAAGTTTTCTATTTGCAATAAATATTTAATTGCGTGTGTGATAATAGAGTGCATGGATGTTTTTTTCTGTACGTAGCGCAAATTAACGACCAAACTCGCTGGTTCGTCAAGTGAGTTGAAGTCATAGCAGGGATAAAAGGATAGACCGCTTTTCGTTTAGACATTGTTACGTGAAACATTCGAAGCTGTCAATAAATACTTCTTTTTTTTGGAAAATACGGCTGACGTTAACACGTGCTAATTATCCGCCGTAATATTGCAAGTCGTAAATATACGAGGCGTTAAATGTTTGGCGAACCGTTCGACAACCGAGTATTGTTTCTGAAACGATAAAAAATCGACGCAAACTTTACACAAAAATCTCTCTTGGATAACAACTGAATATGACTTCCACTTATTTAGATTTGTGGATATAAATGTTAGTTTTTTTATCGATGTGTAAAATATTTTTCTAATAAACAGAGTTGCATTCATCTTCATAATTTAGAAAATATATGTTTCGACTGTAATAATCTTTCGAAGTTTTGCATGTTATTGATATGTGTTTTTGCCATATTATATTTTTCAAAATAATTGCGAAGAAAAGCAAGTGAGTACTGTTAGCTTAATTGAAATATATCTCTAATAGCATTGACAGATTTTAATGTTTTACAAGTTTGATCATGCACTTTAAAAAAAATTAATACTTCTAACATTCTATGACATTATAATTCTATTATATTGCTATATTAAATTGATTTATGTATATGCCTATATATTTTTTACAAATTAATTTATCTTAGTTCTAATATAAATTATTTTCTATAAGTCACAAAAATTTTAATCGTGCTTATTTTATAAGTTTAAATCGAAATGTGTTGTCGACTATATTTTCAAGAAGTAATGTTTAATTGACGTGACATTTAACTCATGACATATGAAAACTTTAATATTCGGCCTTTGAGAATGAAAATAATATTAATTTAAAAGTATGACATGGTAAACTAGTGGAATTGATGGCAATGCAGAATTTTATATTATTTTCGTTTTACCATAATATATTTTAAAGCAGTATATTAATTATATTAATGTATGTATGTATGTATGTATGCATTTGTATATATTTATCGTTTAATAATATTTATCTTTATGCATAAGAGAAATAATTAGTATTATATTATTATAAAATAATTATGCTTATAAAAAATTTTTTTATAATGTACAATAGAATTGATAGAATAAATACTTTTTTGAAATATGTGACACTGCATTTTTGTATCAAAAATATAAATCTGCGAGCACAAAAAAAAGGAATTAAAAAAACTTCTAACCATTTATATAACAATAACAATATAAATATGGTAAATGAACAAGTTTTTAACGAACTCTAGCAATATAAAAAATATATCAATTTTATCGTTATTTTAGTTTTATCGATATTAAGCATATATCATCGTATTACAGAATATTCACATTGCCTAAAAAAATATCAAGCATAAATAGTAAAAAGTATGAAGCACGTAGTAAAACAAACCGAAAGAAAATTCCCATAAAATTTTATTATAAGGTATGTCAGGAAATATGAATTTGGGGTATCGATCAAGACACAATTCGCTGTTTCCAATCTCGATTCGTTAATTACTGTAGATATATGGTACATGAACACGAATGCGGAATATTTAAGCGTATGATTTCTAACGTATGTTGCAGCTGCTCAGGCAACAATCCTGGGACCTGAAGACGTCTACGTGAAGAAGGGTAGCACGATAAGCCTCACGTGTGAAGTTAATGTACGGAGCACGCCTCCCAGCAGCGTTTCGTGGCATCACGGAAGTGCCGTGGTGGATTTCGACAGTCCCAGGTACAAGCCGCGAGAATCGAGTTCTCAGTTTCGTTCTCTTGCAACCCTTCTTCTTTACACACACACACACACACACACATATACATGTTTTCGTTCGATCGCGGATGTTACCGCTACTATCACATAATCAAACGAGATTCTAAACATGTTTCGCGCATTTTCTCGCCTGAACAAACAAAAAGAAAAACTTCGGTTAATTTTTCGGGTCGCTACTTTATTTGTGGTCTCATATTGATCGAACTGAAAACGTTGAAAAATCCTGTCTTCAATCCTTTTTAAGCCCACGTTAATTTCGAAAAGTATGGGGAGTCGAAAAAGCAAATATTCTTTGATCCGACAATTATTTTCAGATTACTCCACAAAAATGACTCTCCTCATAAAATGAAAATTATTCTCTGTAATTTTTTTCTCTCTGCAGCGATGACGAGATGTGTCACATATATTGTCGAAAAGTATAATATAATGCGAGTCGTTAAAATCATCGTGTGACAGATTTTGCTTTCGCAATTGTCGGGAATTTTAGCGTAAATTATATACATCAGTTTTCCGGAGAGACATCTGATGCGAATAAATTTTTCACTTCTACCGTGAACGCGTCGGATCTATTGTTCCGACACGTCCACAAACGTTCGCAATTGCGTGCAATTGCGTCGCAATTTGTGTCGCGATCACGCTCGTTGTTTCGCGCGTAACTGTAAACTGCGTCTTCTCTCTGCAGAGAGAACTAATCACAAAGTAGCGATGTGTGTGACGAGAACGACGTCAAAGTATCTGCGATAATTCAGTGTTCACCGCAGGGGCGGTGTTTCCCTGGAGACGGAGAAAACGGATACCGGCACAACGAGCAGACTACTGGTGACACAGGCCAGATTGACCGACAGCGGAAATTACACCTGCATCCCTAGCAACGCGAACCCAGCGAGCGTAATGGTCCACGTGCTGAATGGTAAGCGATTTTTTTATGACGCGGACTTATCCGGCAGTCCATCATCCCTCGCCTCGCGACGTACCCGGCAGTAGGAAATCCGGATATTCGGATACTCAGGGCTGCTTAATGACATATCGCGATGAAAACGTCTGAATATTCGCGGTTAAAATATTCAGATAACCCGCGGCACTGGGGAGAACTTCCATACATCACTAGTATTATCTTACCAAGCCGCTTTCCATACGATGCGATAAGTTGCCAAATTTTCAACACATGCAAATGCGTTGCATTTATGTGACGAATTTTATCGTGACAAATATGACGAATTTAATAAATATTCATGCTTAGACATATCTCGCCGAGTGCGTTCCTTTTTATTCACTGAGTTTAAATTTATTCATTTATTTCACTGGTTCCATATACGTGAGAGAAAGAGAAAGAGAGAGAGAGAGAGTAGCAAAATAATATGATGCAAATTAAATTACATGTACATCGAATTGCATGACATTTAAACTGAAAGTTTACTGCTTTATAAAGATCAATTAGTTTCTATTCAGCAAACACGATATGCCGCTTGCAAACCATTGAGACTCTCGCTCGATAAACAAAGTCGGAGGCAAGTTTCCGACAATTTGCACGCTTCACGCTACAATGTAATTCACTTATGCAAGCGAATTATCCAAACAATAGAAATATCAAACTTCAATATTTTATCTAGATATTATTGTCTGATATTATGGAGTCTTGCTAATCTTCTGAGTTTTGGTAGCCTTTGGTACTCTTATATTCTTTATTGTTGCACAGTATCGGAAAATTAAATGGAATGAATCCTTTTTTTTCATTTTCTCTCTTTTATTTGCATAAACTGTGCACGTAAAGTCCTTCTTGCGTCACGTAATTCGATATATCATCTCGATATGGTCGAATTTTCCACTTCTTCTCTCCGTGACTTCATTTTTTCTTCGCGACGCGACGGAGAAGCACGAGAAGCAAATCAAGTCGAGTCAAGTCGAGTTGCTGCGTCATGTGCACCACTCTTCGATAAACGTCGCGTGCACACGCACATTCAAGAGCCATCGCACGCGAAAAAATCCCCAAGCATTGGCATATAAACATTTCCGTGTCGGCATTCTTGTAATGCCGCATTTTCACGTCCACTATATCACACGATTCGATCAGAACTCGCGGCTAACCGCTTGTTTTCGATTAACTACAACCGGATTTGCATGATATTCGTTTTTAGAGATATCTGGAAAAAATTTCTGCCGGTGTCTAGTTTCGTGCGAGTTTATTCGATTAAATGTACAACTATGCATTGACTTTCGTATTTCGCTGTACCCAACATTTGAATTTCAATAATGATTGATTTTCAATAATATAATACTGAAATATGTATATTATTTAAAAAGTAAAACATCATAAAGCAAGTTGAAAGTTATAAGCGTATAATATATAATCATTGAATTTGTCTCAAAAATAAGTTTCCACAAAAGCTTCAAAAAATATTTTTTAAAAATTGTTTTCAAAACATTTTAGATTGTAATATATTTATGAATAATTGCATATTCAATTTGATAAATATATGCAAAAATAAATCAAGTTTTTTTTAGCACATACAATCAATACATTTATATGTATAATATTGCTCATATTTAAATCTAACAATAAAATTTCTAGATCTAAGATCTAGTTTATAATACCTTAAATAAATTTTATAATATTTATAAAATGTTTTATAAAATATTATCATTTAGTATAAAAAATTTTGATATTTGATAAAATAACTTTGTAATGATTTATTTCTATATCAAGATAAAATTAAAGCCATACTCAACATAAATCTTCGAGCCATTCTTTAGCAAATTCAAATTTATTATTTCAATAATTTAATGATTTAATAAATTTGCTTGAATATATATATATATATATATATATATTCCATTTTTGCATTTTGCAAGCGAAATATTATAAATGAACATTATAACGATTGATAATTCATTTCAACGTCCATTGTTTAACCATACACATAAAGGTATATATTTGAAATACATTATAGTTCTCTTAATTATACTATAATTATTTGACACATTATTATCATATAATTACTTGGCTTTTTAATTTATTTATTATATTAATTAACTACTTATTAATTATAACTCAATTAATGTAAAGAGTCTCTCTCTCTCTCTCTCTCTCTCTCTCTCTCTCTCTCTCTCTCTTTCTCCCGTTTCCTATGTTTTTCTGTCTCTCTAGTTTTCCTGTATTCTACTTCTAAAGCAAATATTTTATTTCTACTCTACTAAAATATAAATGTTCATTATCTATGTCTCCGATTATATATATACATATGTTATGTCCAAGTTTTAATCCTTTTTTATACATTTAATTAAACATATATCTCTAAATTTAGCTTTTTTTTAGTGTCCTGCATTCAATTATTGAAAACAAATTAGAAATTTCGCGCGTTATCTTTTTTACGATCGTGTGATTTTTTTGACAAAAAATGTGTTCAATAAGAGGGATCCTTGAGGAAAATTTTCCGGCAGCTTCTAGATTGTGTTCACATGACCGACAAATTTCACATCAATAAACGCTTATGTATGCGCGGCGCGAGTTTGGCGACAGGAAACCAGGCTTCTGAAATGTGACATTCGAAAGAGACGACGCGCGTTCATTCATCAAGTATCGAAATCCTCCGTCATAAAGTTTGACAGGTTCGTATATTGGAGTCGCAGCAAGTACTCCGCACGCATATACTCTCGCTTTTGATCTATTGTCAGCCGGCACAGCGCGCTCGCGATAACACATGTAATATCTTGTTCGGCAAGTTCACCAATCCAAGCTGTCAATCATTGCGAGCTTGCTGTCCTGGCACGCGCATCTCGCGAAACTCGTTGCAGCTGTTCGAAATTGACAACTTTCGCGCATCCTACCGTGCATGCACCCATAGTCGAAAGATTTATAGACTATAATAAATATTTATAGATTTTCTCGATAAAATATCTCGATTATTGTAGATTTTTTTGCACAAAAAAATAATGCATATGGAACAATTTTAGAAATGCCTAAATTTACTTTAATAATACTTGTAGTATAATTATAATTTTTTTTTTAACAAGGATATATCATTTAAACAGAATTTTAATTTTATATTTAATTGACAGAAAATATTTAAAAATAAATTTGAGAAATTATAAAAAATGACTTTTAATGAAATAATTATAGAAAAATAATGATAATTATTGCACGAATACTACATTGACATCATTTTATTGATACGATGTAGTCTCCGCGTTCGCACAATATTGAATGAAAAAAACACTGCATCAATATTCCGCACTTTCATTTCGCTCCATTCGAGCCTGACGCAGCATCCTGGCCAACAGCGCAATAAATTTACAATACCGCTGGTCTCTCCTCTCAACCCCTGATTAAATTAATGTTTTCGAATCGAAGCGCCCCATGTCGGAGTGCTACAAAAATCAACAAACCCCTTCGGCAACTAGGCAACTAGATCTCCCGCCACGTACATCGCGCGTTTGCACGGCAATCGAATTGCAGAACTTAACAAGCTTTCTTCGACGTTTTCACGGTTTCCACGCTTTCACTCTGTCCGCTCTCCACCCCTGACCGCGCGGGGGCGCGTTTGCCACCCTCGAACCATCGATCGTACCCACTTTCGTCCGGAAACGCCCGGCTGAGCACGCGCTTCGCTCCTCGCGGATCGGCCGCTTCCGGTACCGGATGAAAATTAATGCGGCGCAGTTCGTCTGCATAATTAATTTACGGGGGCGCACCCGGTCGCGGTGGTCGGCGCATCGGCCATCGAAATGTATTTCAAACACAGCTGATTACTCTGCAAAATTGACCGCAAATTTCAATTATTTTCCGATAAACCCGTACGGGGCGACCCTGGGGCTATCCGTTCCAACACGTACTATCTGCGCATTAACGCAATTACGCATGTCGACCGACGCCGCGTCGTCAACGTTTCGCCAGGGTCGGTGTCATTTTTCGATAACGGGCCAGATAAATGCGGTATAACGCTCATATAACTTCATCAAATGAGATTTTCAATTTGCTCGTAAATTGCGGCCTTTCCGGCGGGACCGGCAGGCGACTAGTTACCGCGATGCGGGACCGCCGTTATGTTCCTACCGCTGGACCCGTGATTATCTTTATTGCCATCAAATGTGCGTGTGCGTATATGTGTGTGTGTGTGTGTGTATTTTGGGCGCAACGGCGATATCTCGCGCGCCGTCGTCATGGAGCGAGAAATTGCTGTTTCGCTCCCGAATGCGGTGCCCACCGTAGCTGCAGTTATTGCTGAACAGAGCGATATTTCGTTCGCAATTCGTGCTGTGACACATTTTACATCCTGCTAGAACGCACATTGCGTAAACATTATGTCAAACGCATTATTCCTTTCTGAACCTTACAATGAACGTTTCAAAGTTGATCGCACACTTTTTTATTTTTAAATTTATCGCAAACGTTGTGACTTATATATGCGAAAGATAATGTGACTGAAAAAATATATTTGGAAATTGCTTAAGCAAAAAGTATTTATAAAGAATAAATTTTGTAATAATATATATGCATGATACGTAACCAGGGTGATTAAATTATTAATCAGTCAAAGTATTACAATATTTATTGTGAAATGTATCTTACTTGTAACCATGTACGAATACGTTAGATCATTTTGAAAGGAAAGAAAGAGTTAAATTACATTTTATTTTCCCGATTTTCTGGTTATTTCATACAGGACCTAGGCTACGAGATTGTCATTAGGCTGGAAAGTTCCTGCTTAGCGTTTAACGCGTTATACGAACGATTAACCTACATTGTGAATCTAATTAGGGCTGCGCAATTAAACTCTTGCGTTATGTAGCTACCCGAGATAATATTCAATGTAACGAGTCTGTGACGTAGTTTATTTAGAATTAGTTATTGGTATAATGAAGTTTGATTTAACTTTTGCCAACAATTTTCTATCTACATTCCCACAATAAATAACGATTATCAAATTATCTGTATTATTACTTATCAGAAAAGTATGCATAAAAATATTCCATTTTTTTGGTCTTTTTTATTAATTATTATCTCTCCAAAGATTATTATCCTTTTTAATGTAACATTTAATATAAAACGCGTCATTTCAAAATCTACAAAAAAGAAATAAAAATGCAAGTAACAAATATTCCTTTTTACCGAATAATTGCTCGAACGAGATAATTAATGTACGGAAGAAAATTGAGACGGATTAAAAGGTGCGGTTTTGCCCATTTCTGTTACAGGTGAACATCCAGCGGCGATGCAGCATGGCGGTAGCTGCGGCGTGGCCCCGACTATTTTGCTCGCCAGCATCACTCTCATAGTCGCGAATCTGTTAAGGTGAGCAGCCGTGTTGTGAATCGCTCATCTTAAACGGGAGAAAAAAGCAAGAAAGTGTCAAACGTGTCGAGACGGTCGCGACAGTGTCGAAAGTAAACGTGCGACGGTCGATGCGTTTGTGAAACGGAACAATCGAAAAAATCACCGATCGCGATCGCTCTTAACGCTTTTCACGCGTCGCTATCACGTGCTGCGCGTATCCGTTTGTCAAGAGTGCTCGGAAGTGACGAACGAGAGAACAGCATGGATGATGTGCAGCGGACCAGAGTTCTGTGTGAGAGGAGCAGTGGCGGACAAATCTTTAACACGTACGTTTTTAACACGAAAATCTGTTTTAGACTGTCCCCTCTTTTGTATGAAAAATCGTCGTGTTAAATGCGAGAAGTGTGCCCAGACGATCGCTCGAGAATTAAACATATTAATGACGCCATGGTCGATTGTACTGTGAGCGTTTTTCGCCAAAAAAAAAGAACTCCCTCGCACTTGTGCTTTTTATTAAATCGACATGTGTGGCTCAACGAATGTGCGTGGATTTCTCTTCAGTGATGAAGAAACTGCTCATCTCGTGATTTCGTTCGAGAGCAATTAGGATTTATATTTTAATTAACTTAATAAGGGCCTCGTAAAATATTCCACATCGATCAATAGAGTCGTAATGTGCTCGGCACAAAATAAGATCGGTCACACGATCTGTCGCGATTTTCAATGTTTTTTTTTTTCAAATTGAGTATGGATCGATGGCTGGATCTATTCGAAGCTATGAGATAATTATCGGCTATAAGATAATTATTACGTAAATTGAAGTTAATAATCTAACGATTATCAACTATTTGGGTGATAATTGTCAGATAGTTAACGCTCTCTTGTACATAAAACGATTAACGAACTTATAGGGTTTACCGCGACCTTGTTGTACAGTACAATGCATGTGCGAGAATTGTTACGTGACCAACCATCATTTTCCGTCGCGCGTTTAATCTGGGCTATTGTATATTTTATATTAGTTATAATAATATAAACGAGTATATGTTTTAATAAAAAATTTTTAACTTTGTTTTTGGGCATAATTCAGCATCTCGATCGTGTCAGAAATGTTTTATATATACTTTATTATACGTTTCGCCCAGATTCGACTCGACTTTCATTAGACATATTACTAAGAAACAGTATTAAGATAAATTGATTGTGATAATTTGCAAGTATGATGCATTAATGTTGTTTTTTTTGAAGAATTATAAGAATATTTTATCGTAAAAAGACATGAATTAAATTTGAACGCAATTATATTGCATCTAAAAAAATTGGAAATATCTGCAAAAAAATATTTTATTCTTTTGGTATAAAATTCTAATTAATTATTGCAAATACAAAATTAAAGTTATTTACAGATAATAACCTAATTATTTTTTTTCAAAATGTAAAAAATGCAAAAAAATAATTTATGAAGTTTTTATCTTAAAAAGAAAAAGAAAGAGAAGAGTTAATGTTTTACATTTTAAAACTATTAGTTCCAACTTTAAATAATAAATTAATTGATTGTGAATTAGTCAAAGGAATAAAATAGACGCGCGCCAACGCATGAGAAAACAAAAATGAATTCTTAAAAATTTATAAAACATTATTACAAGGGATTTATAAAATATAATTGTTGTCAAAATATAATTGTTTTAACATCAGGAGAATGTTTACAGTATACGCGGTTATCTCATAAAAAAATGAGCGAATTAAAGTGAAAACTGATCGTTTTAGTAATGATAGTAGATAGGTCTATTCTCGATATGTTTCTGTTTGTTTATTGCAAGCAGTAATTTTAAATACTAAATGACTCGCAAGATTGATACATATCTTGCTTTCTTGTTTGATAATCAAAATGCCACAGGTAGTATTTTTCCAATCATATATTATTTCACTTGTAGAAATTCATTCAAACTCTGAGGATATTAAAGTAATTTTTTTCAAAAATCAAAACGCGTCAAAATAAATTCTCCGATCAATCAAAATATAATCAAATTAACATCGATCGGTCATCGATAATGACCATTACATTTTGGAGGCGTATTAAACATGAAGCTCTTGTACAGATAAGAGAGAATGAAAAGATAAGACATACATATATTTAAATAGATCAGTAATAAGCGTTCGCATTATATATTCTAATAATATTACATACGTCGGATACGATATGCGGAAAGTATAATTCGAGAGATCACAGTGTAAGTATAAGAGAAATTAAAGTTTTGAAAAACTAATAAAATTTTTTAATACAAATTTTTTGGCAAAACTAATAAAAACTGGTCTTTATAATAACTCATTTAAATTTTTCAAAAGATTGTACTTACACGCAGTTAATTTATTGTATATTGTTAAAATCATAATATCAATCTAAATTTTTCTTTTTATGCAAAAAATTATAGATTTTACTACTTATTGCGTTTTATAACGTAAGTTTGTCTAATATAATTGACATAATTCCACGCTATTAAAACTTCACTTTTCATTAACTTGATCATAAACTTTGTTCATTAACATTAAATTATATAGTAGTCTTCCGACTTTAGTGTCGATTTAATCGCAAATTTCATATTTTCGTCAAATTCTACAAAAGATAAATATAAAAGATAAATACCTAATTATTCATTTCTCAATTTATTTTAATTAAGTCTTAATTATCTAAGCTACAATAGTTGAATATTTTTTAATGATCTTTTCAATTAATTTCTGCAAATTCAAACCATCTTCTCCGAAAAGAAAAAAATACGAGAGAGAAAACAAGACCTTAGATCTGATCATTAAATAATCCAATGTACGTAATATAGGATATAGTGGTAAATCAATAGAAGTAGGTTTATTACAAAATATAATGTAACACAAGTAAAAAAAATATATCATAATGATTAACATGTTAAGATGCGATTTCTTAGAATAGATTTTTTATAACGTTGTAGCTCGGAGAAAAATGCAAATTAGGATCAACCGAGATTGTCCATCATTTCTGAAACTTCAGAAAAAATTGAAATCGGGGGAGAAATGTCGCAGTACTATCATTTTATAATTTATATCGTAATTTATATTGATATATTAAATAAATGAACAAATTCGATTACAAAATTGATATGTACTGTGAACAAAATTGCGAATCACACTATGGTGCGGAGAGACTGATTTGGAGTGCGATCATATAAAAAGTGATCAAGTGAAAAGTGAAAAATTAAATTTTTTTATGAATCAAAAAGTCGAATTTTATAAATGAAAAATATTTTCATCGAGCAATTGATGTGTGCAAAACCCAAATACATATTTAATCAAGCTCAATGCAATAAAAGAAATATATATTTGCAATGTTCCTCATTTTGACACAGATTCTATTGTAATTTTTCATAGCGAAAATATGTGGCTCAATTGTAAAACATTTAATAATAATACTCATGTGCGTAAAAAGTGATCAAACAGAAAAATATCGAGAAGGGTATACCTATTTGTGAATTAGATAATTGACATCCGCGATTCGCATATTTACGGAGAATGTTGCACATTATATAGATAAAAGATTAGACTGCATTGTACATATACAATTCATAATCGATAATATATTATGTTATAGGAAAACTTAAGCATGAATCAAAAAAAAGACAAGATTAAAAATGCGCAAAAATGCGATATAGAATATTATATTGTATAAATACCCATCGACGTGGATACTGTTTCAATAAATGTAATGATGATATAAAAAAACAGACTTTTTCTATTTGCACCTCCTGTTAGATATTTTTGTCTAGCTTACATATTTTTTATATAACAAAAACTACAATTATATCAACAATATTGCTAATTTTAAAAGTCCCGTCCCATTTTGCCACATTTTTTTAGTAGTTGATATTTTTAGAAACCATTCAAATTTTTTATCGACTATGAGAGAGAGATAGAGACGAAAAACGATTTAAATTTCTCGCTTAAATAAAGGGAGCAAAGCCCGAAAAAATATATAGTTGAAAATAACAGAGTTGTCAATCACAAAGATAAATTTTTTTCAAAATTTAATCTCTCTTTACAGGAATTGTAAATTTAAACTTATGAATTGGAATTTTATATTTCATTCAATCTTTTATCTTATTTAGATTAAAATTATTATATTAAATATTGTATAGTTTTTAAGATTACAAAGAATTTTGTATATATAAAAGTATTTTGTGATATACACATTTTTTTTATATATAAAAGTATTTATTTAATGAGTATGTCTTTTTTTTTAATTAGATACGAAAATGGTTGGTTTTAATTGGTACGCGTACCCATATATATCGATTTTTCTGATGTGTCGCATGTGTGCAATGCGCTCCAGTTTTATGCGTGAAAAATAGTAGTTGGAAAAATACTCACATACATGCTATTAGCGTGAAACATGCGCACTAAGCGCCCTTTATTTATCGTATGCATATGTTGCTATTTCGAAATTCGTTAAATAGAAATTTTAAAATTTGCAGAAATATTTATAATGAAGAACTACGGCTAACCTTTAATTTCATTAATTTTACTGATGTGTCTGAAGTTGATGTATCATTTCGTAGATGTTCATAAATTAAGAGTATTGGCTTTAAATAAATTTATAGTTTTGGATAGTTTAAATAGTTGGCCACAAAATGGTCATTAAAACAAAGACAATGCATTACAAACTATACTGAGGCTCCAAGTATACGAAGTGTCACATTTTGTTCTGCGAGAATTTCCTTATGACTTTTGATGAAATGTTTAACAATTTATAATTCCACATAAGTCTAAAAAGTTATATTTTTTAAAAAATAAAAGCATTGATTAAAATATAATAATCACAGAAAAGGCAAACACATGTATTGAAATGTTAGTTGATTTTCGAGAATTCTACCTTATATAAAATAATTCTCGTATAATTCAGAACATATTCATGCATGTTTTAAAAAGTTCTACTTATTGGCAATGATTAGAAAAGAATCATAAGAAAATGTAAAGATATGATTAACACTATACAAAAAACTGTTTTAAAATATACATAAAATTTTTCAAAATCAATCATCTTATCTTGATTTATGTGCGAGAACAATTGTAATTATTTTATTTCAGTTGATGTGTTAATTATAATATATCAAAAAAGACGCAGGTGATAAATGCATGCAAGTGCATTATTCTATATACTTTCATATATTAATTCTCTCTATATTTTTAAAAACAAATCGTATTATTACCTTTATTTGAAACATGTCTATAAATATATTATGTTACTATCTTAAAAAAATATATGATTCTGTTATTTTTAACGAATGCTGAATTGCATATGCATTGAACAACTATTGAGCGACTTTCGGACGTTTAAAGACAGTGAATTCGTGCATTGTCCCGCAATTTTTCTTTCCCGGCGCATGTTGTGCGATGTTTTGCGCCAGGTAGTGGCAGGCGAGCAGAGCGCGCGGGAAAACTGCAGCACAATTAAACACGATAGGCGCGGTAAGCCCAGCCATCTACTACGTGTACCCGGCTGTTTCCAACTTCGCCACCGCGACAATTAACGAACGAACGCAACGGATCAGGCGAGCTGTCGCGCAATTCGTACTGCGATTGCTTTGCTCAGCATCAAAACGAAACGAGAATATGAGAATTTCCAAAATTAAACAAGATGCAACGGTAGGCAGATGCATAAAAGTCGAAATCGACGAGAAATAATATTTGATAAATGTGTTCAAAAAAAACTTAAGAGAATTTATTGTTTCTTTTTTTGCATGTTATGTACGATTCTATATCTTGAAATTCATTAAACACAATATTATACTAAAAACATTTTCAAAAAATTAATAATAAAAATATTATTTATTTTACACAATAGGTATGTATGTATAATGAAATTAGATTTTGTAAAAGTACGATAAAAAAATTTAATTCTAATTTTTGTTTAAACAATTTAAATAATTATATAATTTTTAAACATTTTTACATATATTTATATAAATATATTTTAATAAATGTAAATGTATTTTAATATGAATATTTTTAATTTTGGAAATATTATATATATGCATTATATTACGAAATAACTTAACCCAACCATACTGGTCATATAGATAAAAATGAGCACGTAATACAAGTAAAAAATAATAAAAGTTATATGAATGGCTCACCACTTACAGTTGTTTCATCACGCTCAATGCTTTTTCCTTTTTGTACATTTTTGCTGCTTATTTTATGATATTTACTCGCGAGAGCACTTTTCATTACTATCGTTCAACATTTTGCATAATACTCCCGAATTAATCATGTGCATTTTATATAGCGAGAGACAATACTGCAAGGTAAAGCTCATTTATTTTTGTTAAATTAATACATTCTTATAATCTGAAAAATAATGTATTTATAGGAATTAAATCTCACAATACATATTCACACATATAGACTAAATATATTTTATACTCATATACATACATATATGTATGTATATTATTATATAATTGTTATAACTTGAAAGTTTTAGGAAAAAATTATGTAAGAAGAATCTGCTATTTTCTATTTTTTATAATATTTTGCTTTGCAAATTATGTATTAATATGATTGAAACTGAAGTTTGGATGCGCCTATTTATCATTTTATGCACGACGATTTGAATTAATAACATTAATTTTTTTATTAATACTTTCATGTCGCCTATTTAAATTTAATATATCTTAATTCTTTCACTTTTATACCATAAACTATCTCATTTTAGTTTATGAATATATTTATATATACAAAACTTTGTTTTTTTTTGTCAAAGACAATGTAGTTTTATTAACTCTTGGTCTAAACTCTCGTATTTCAATAATGTGCCTCTAAAAAAAATTTTTACAAGAAATGCGAAAGTCGTGCAAGATTCTTTCTCTTGAGTTACTTTAGCTAGTCTATAGCTAAAAAATTTTAGCATATTTACTTTGATACAAAAGCAGTATTTTCCACCATGTGTTTTTATTTCCCGCATTTATAGTGTCCTATAAAGGCGCACAAAAGCATACATCATCATAACCCACACATGCAAGCATAAACGGCTTTTCCTGACAAAGATAAACTGTCCAAGCGTATTACGGCGGAAAGAACAAGGACACGTAACGGCGGATTCGCGTTTCTTCTTCGGCAATGGACTATTGCAGTTCGTCTATGTCAGAGCGAGCTTTTACGTCAGCATTGACACGAAATTGCGCGGCGGCAGCTAATTTCCGGGGTGCAACGTGTGCAAAAATTATTCTGCCAATAAAAACTTTACCATCTTGCATCGGTTAACGTGCAATTCAATTTCATTGTAACGAATAACCCGAGCCTTCCACGTCTCGCTGACCTCTCGCAATCGTGCGCAAAAAGCCGGATCGGGGTTCTCGACTATCGAAAAACAATTAAACGGATAAAATATCGACAAACATAGTTCGATAGACGACTGATATTTTATCAGCTGCTCAGCCAACTCGTCGGCATCTTGTTGGGCGTGAACGTTCGCTATGAGGTTTGTACTAAAGTGCTAAGGGTGAACTCGATCAGAAGTCATTATTTTCGCGCGGTTGTAGATCTTTTATCAACTAAAACGGCTTCCTTTATATCAAAGAAGAGATTAATAAACTAGATTAATAAATAATTTTTACAGTTGTGAGAATATTAATGTGATGGATTAATGAAATGTCACATTACAGAGAAAGATTAATAATAAAATATAATACTATTATCAAATTAAATACTTGATTAAATTAAAAATATAATACACACTCTATTAGTTTAATGAACTGTTGGGTAGAAGCATATATACATAAAGTTTATTAACATTCTTTCTGATTTTATTAACATTGTTAATTATTTTACAATATTTTATATTACCTTTATATTATTAAATAAAATCACTCCACTTTTTATAAATAACACATGAAGAAATCATTATGTTATATTTGATTTTTTCTTCTCATTATTTTTGTATTTATTAAAAATGATTTTGAAAATAATATTCTCATTTTCGTTTTATGGAAAATACGTGTCAAGCTATTTACGAAAAATTTCATAATATTTCACGAACATAAATTATCAATTAACGGTGATTATTTCTGTTATTAGCACAATAACTGAGATTCTTTGATAAAGTCGAGATAGTTGTAAACATTAGTGAACACATCAGATCTGCCCAAAGCGCAAGGTAAGACCCAAGAGACGACACCAATGACTTCACCATCGACAACGAGTGGACCACCGCTGTCACCCTAAAGTGTGTGTAACGGGAGGGAATGTACTTTTAATTAATCTCATTTATGACAGCATAGACGATGAAATAACGCGCCAAAATAATTGGAACATTTTGTCAATTCATGTCGCAATTATTTTGTTTTATGCAAGTATATTTAATACTTTTAAGATGTATAAAATAAATTAAAAGATACTCACTTGGCAAGCACCTTTCCCAACCTTTTCCAGCGTACATATGTGGTTTTCATTGGTGCGTGGATTTTTGTGACCAAGCAAACAGCTTTCTTGACTCAAGACATTCACGCTAAGCCATTTAAGTATCTCTGAAGATGATCCACTTATTTTTGTTTTTCCCCATCCGGACACGATGCCGCGTTTGCCACCGTTAATGTAGTTTTTACTTGCTAAAGGAATCGGACCTTGGAGCTTGTTCATTTTGATCGGCTTTTTTAACTATATATAAAAAGAAACATTCGCGAAATTATAACATAAAATAACTGAAAACAAGTGCGCAATTAAGTAAATTTTTTTACTTATGTTTCATTTATTTAAAGAATTTAATAAACTTACGGTAATCACAGCAATATCGTCCTTCCAACCACTCTCTTTTTCACCGGTGTATTCTGGGTGCATCCGAATACATTTAATGTCGTGTCTCTCGCCACCAATTCTCGGACTATTGGTTCCACTTATGACAATCTGCAAATTAAATAATTTAATGAGCTAAAAAAAAGGATTAAAATAAAAAAATGACACAAAAAGAAATTTAATTGGAAAGAGCGATATACACGAATAAATAAGGAATGGATAAATAAGTAGATGATGTCAATTATGTATATCTATGTATAATATATTGAATATATATTGAATATGTTTATGTCATCATATAATGCTTTTATTGTCTGATTGATAGAAATATACTGCACTTATTCAATTCGTTCAGATATTAAATATCCGTGTATTGATTAGAAAAGTAACTAAAAAAGCAGATACGTTGGTATTAAATATCAGAATAATAGCTGAAACGTGGTGTCGTCTGGACATCAGAATAATAAAATCAGAAAACTATTTGAATAAATTTTACTTGAGTATTTGAATAGCATTAGCATAATTTTCCGAACGGAATATATTTGCAAACGAAAGTACAAACAGAATTAAAAATTTAAAGTTTATTAAAAATTAATAACAGAACGCAGAATTTACAATTTTTCTTCCTATATTATTCCTATTTAACTAGAAAACTAATAAAACTAATAAAATTCTTAAATAAAAGTTTATTTAAAAAAAGAAATGATTAAAGAAATATTTTTAGTAGCAATAAAAGTTTTATTACAATTCTGAAAATAAAATTTTAAATGAACGAAACGGATCCTTTACTGGAATCGCAGCGCGTAGCAATGTCAGATATATCGAAAATCCGATTAAGTAAAGCAACTCAATAAGAATTGATTTTAATTAACTGAACATTTCTCCAAATATTGTGATTTCAAATATTGAAATACTATATGCAAATTAGAACTGAGAGAGATATATTCGGATATATAATAAAAAACATTTCCAACTTAACAACATTAGTCATAACTAAAAAAGCTTTTAAAAGTTTGAGAGCTTAGATTTTTTAAATATCTTTCAAGTACAGTTGTAAGAGAAAAATATTAAATCTTCAAATATTCACATTATCTAAATAAAGACTTAGCGCACGTAAAGGTTCACTAATTTACGTAATTAATTAATATAACCATATAAATAATAAATTAATTATATAACTACATAAATGGTACATTATCCGAATAAAATTTTATTTAATTTGTTATTTGAATCAAATTCTTATTACTTTCGAACATTATTCGCACCATGTATATTCACATTATTCATTATTCGCATTACTTTCCGTTCTTCATAAGTAGTCATTATTTTTCTTGACATAGAGCACAATCTTCTATGAGCAACCTAATCAAAATATATAATGTATATGCAATAATTATTCTAATTATTTGTAAATATATTTTTATACATTAATAATATGTATCTTCTTTACATATTATTAATTAACTTTAATAAAAATATGTAGTGAACAACTGCTCTCAATTCTCTAATTGTATTCTTTAATTGTCTTTATTATTAATGAAACTATATTTATTAATATAAAACTGTTACGTACCAAGTCATCCGTGTAGAACTCATCTACGCAATGAGCAGCAGTAAGAATGTGCGTACTACTAATGATACTACCTCCGCAAATATGCTCGCCATAAAATTGAAGGGATACTTGATATATAAATTGACCAATATCAGCTATATCACCGCCGACGATTCGTTCAGGCTCATCGCAGCAAACATCTATAAATTATAATTAAGATAGAAATTATTTTGTCTGAAAATTTTTTTCTTCAACGAAAGAAATAGATAAAAAGTATCTTAAAAATATACACACAAGTATCGTAAGAATGTGCACACATGAATCTATTATAATAGAATATATATTAAATTTTTGTTTTGTCAAACTTGTGACACAAAGATATATATTTATAAATTTTTTTCGTACGTATATAATTTGTATATTGATCAGTAATTGATTTTGTGTACTTACGCTGGACGATAGCACTGACAACGACGAGAATAACTAACTTGATCATCCTCGTCGCAAATCAAATCCAGATCGAATTACGAACTGGATAGACCAGACTACTCAACCGTTTCCTTTTATATACAGTTTCATATCTGTATTCAGCCTTGTATAACAGCTGTTCCTGTTTGCATTATATTAAGCTACAAGCATATTACGCACTCATTCAATTGTTAACGAAGCACATCTGTATCTGTAGTGTGCAGCTTTCTGAAATCTCAAAACAGATATAAAAAAAACACATGTAAAGTGATTAATTTTAATACACGTATTCACAAATGTTTTTATTATTTTATACAAAATTCTCTTTTGTATCTATTTAAAAAATGATTGCATATGCCATTATTTTATCGAAAGAAATAAAGAAAAGCAATAATTAAAAAGTTAAAATTATTAGGTGTCATTCATGCACGCGGATAATGATATTATTAAAATATTGATACTGTCAAAATATTGATACTGTCAAAATATTCATTTCTTGTAATAATAGGCACATTAATATATTATCTAATCTTAAAAATATGTATTGTCTACTACAAAATGCTTTTTGTATTATTCCGGTCTCATTCCGGGTAAAAAAATTTCGACATGTATGTATCGATAATATTAATATGTGTAAATTAAATGAATTAAATTGGCATTTTGCTAATTCTGAATATTTCACGTATAAAATAACTATAGACGATGCAATAACGATTACATAGAATTATTTATGACTGATCACAAAAATAAAATTTGTATTTGGAATCTACAAATCTAGAATGATGACAATTAGATAAATCCATTATTCATATCAAATAATGCTTGCAAGATAAATTTCAGTTCACTATAATATTGTTAAAAAAGTCGATATATATCAAATAGAATCTCTCTATCCATGTGACATATAGATCGAAGTGAAGGTTGTTTCAACAAATACATTTTAAATGCAAATTTAAGCAAACTCCAATGTAAATTTGTTGAAACTGTATACTATTAAAATGTGCATATATTTTAATCAAATTTCTACCGATAGTCAGTCACATTGATTAATTTATAATCATTCTTTCAATTGCACAAACAACTTCACATAATTAAATATATATGAAGCATAATATATATGTATACATGTAACACATTTTTGTAACAGAAATATAATCACGCATTCAGTTTTTAATTGAAATATCTGATGCTTATCTATGCATGTAATTTTCATAATTAACAATAATATTTGCATTAGGTGTCACCAATTGACTGTGACAATTATTACATATGGCAATAAGTTGTGTGTATTAACAAATAGTCAAAACACAAAATAATAAATATCAAATATTAAAGTATCGATATGATATTTTAATGAGAAATTTTTTGTGGAGAGTAAAAATATTTTAATTGTCTTAAATAGTGCTTGCTGAAATTGAAGGAGAAAAACTTGGAACAATTAATAATGTATTTTGGACGGGATAATAAAGTGTAGATAATAGAATATTGCAGTGCAATAGTGAAATACGTGAATACATAAAATATTTCTTCGGCACAGCTGAACATGACTGCCGCGCTCCACTGCCAATGTCTTTATATTATCGCGTCCTAATTTGACGGGATCGATATCCGGCTTAATTGCGTGGTATAGAATTGCGCACCGCACTGCTACGTGATGGTAAATTTGCACAATATTCATTAAACAACTTCTTATCGATATTTTCGTTTAGAAACGATCGTAAATACATTTTTTTTACATTACAAAACGTAGTATTTGTACGAAATAATATCAAAATTATACAAATATTTACATTATATAAAGTCAGTATTTTTACTTTATCTTTGATCTGATATGTTAAATTTTTATTCGTATTGGTGTACGTTATTTTGTATAATGCATACGTTTCGAAAAAAAATTCGTCCCGTTTATAATTCATTATTATTTTAAAAAAAGCGTTATAAAAATAAAATCTTACAAATATAATTTTTATTGTAAAATTTTATCCAAAATAAATATGTAATATCTACATTATTGTAAAATAATGATATAGTTATAATATACATCTACATGCATGTTTATATGTAACAAGAAAGCTATCACAAAATGCAAATTATTACGTGTGTTAATTTGTATTTTATTTAGCAATGTCGGTTATATTGCTTTATTTTATCACGTAAAATAACGAAATAAGAATCTTATCTTTATTTAACCTTTGGCATCTCGTAAATGTAGCTTGGCAAAGTGATCGTTGGTGTGAGAAGAGATGTAATCTGAAAAAATTTCCCCATTAACCCATTAATGTCGCCGTTAGCAATTTAATTTGCTGCAGCACTCTACGTACAAGATTATATGTATACACATAATACTTTGAGATGGTAATATAGTACAGCATCATAAAAAAGCTGAACTTTATGAAGAAATTAATAAATTTAAATTCATTCAAATCGGAGTTTTTTATTAAAATGATCATTAAATCATTGTTTATTAATTATATTAATTAACTTTACTTTTTTAAACATTGTTTAATCTATTTATAGTAAAAATTCACAAATTCGTAATGCGTTATAGCAAAACTCACATCGTAATTTATTGCCGTAACTTGTAAGAGCTCGCGTATTTCCAGCCCGACTGTATCCCTCGCGATAAACTTGACATTCGTAAACATTTTAACTGGCTCAGCTTTCCATGGCAATTTGCGTGAAAAGGCTCACTGAAAGCGAGGTTGGTGCGCACTATTGGGAAGGTACATTCGTTTGGCCGGCCGTTGTTTATTCGAAGCAACAAAGTTGAATTGCCCGTTAACAAAGCAAGATCGCAAACACTTTTTACAGTAAAGCGGCCTCTTTTTTGTTTGAGTCACGCGCAGGGGCGGATCTGCGAAAATTAGCCGCCGTTTGTCTATTCGTCTATCGAGACCTCTCGACAACGTCCATCCGCACGGAAACGAAACAAATTTTGAAAAAAAAAAAGAATGGGAAAAATAGCATACTTCCATAAAATAGCTCTCACAAATATGTAAAAAGAATTGCATTGAATAAAGCGTGAAACAATGACAAATAAAATTGTTATATACAAAATTCTCTGCATGTTTTGTTATATCGAGAGAATGTTCAATTTAACATGTTTCACTCCAAAATTCCACATTATTATGCGCTTTAGTATGATATTGTGAATTTAGCGCTCGCAGGAATTGAACGTATCAATATGTTTTGTGGTTTCAATAGTGCTTCATGCAATTTAATTAATTTGTATGTGTGTGTGCGTGCGTGTATATAACGATACATGTGAGCAGAAAATGTTCTAATTTCAGTATCAATACTAAATTTAGATATTTTAGCACTTTCTAAATCACTATTTTCTATCGAAACTATATTTCTCCTGTCCATCTGCAATATCGAGAAAATTTGTCTATTATTAAAATATATAATTATTAAAATTATAATTAATTACGTATGTATTATATAAATGTTAGTTATTTGTTATTACAATTATTATAATTATTTTAATTAAATTGTAGGATATACGTATTCACTTTCTTATGTCATAATTATCGCTTAAAGCTATATTTATAGTTATCACTTTTGATATTATTTTTAGAAACACATATCACGCAAGCTATTTGTGATGCTTGATAAGTTTATATCTTGTCACGCAAACGATTCAACAATTCGAATATAGTTCAATTGAGATTGAGTTCACGCGATAGACGGAATAGTGAGGCGTAATAGTTACTCGTGTGAAATCTCAAGAGTCACGTATTGAATCGTGTGAGATTCAAAGCTGTCTCTCAAAATTGGTTTCATCCGAGTTCCTCTGCTGTATCGCGGTTGCAAATATAACATCACGAATATCACATTGACTCTCAAGATCCGTATATTGAATCATATCACGTTTCAAGACTAGCCTCAGCTAACTTCGTAAGCAGGAACGCGACAATAAATACGCGCTTCAAATAATTTTACTGACAAGATGAGTAATATTATATTTAATATATATATAGAATAATCTGCTAATAATTCGATGCTATTCGAAAAATATTGAATAAAGATCGAGTCACAAGAGCCGCGCGCGTGGAGAGCAATCACGATCGAGCTGATCTTTAATTTGAGCCCAGGTGAAAGACGGGAAAGTGGAAGATACGTGAAATTTATTGTTGGTGAACGGTGCCCACTAACGAATGTGTCCCAGAGGAGTAGAACGGGTGGACAATGCAGTTTTCCAATTTTCATCCCCCACCCTTGGCAGGCATTCGAGCCCCTGTTCGACCTGGCCAGCTAGTTCCCCGCGCGTGCTCTCATCCTTTATCATCCTCTACCCGAACAATCATAAAGCATGTTGATTCACGGTCCGCCGTAAATTTAGTGTTATTTTATTCTTGCTTCAGCGTCGCTTAAGCGGCACTTTTAACGATCCCCGACGCGTCGCTCGAATTGCATCGTGCCTCGTTAGACGCAAAGAAATCGTCGCACCCTATTTTTCTGCAATTGTCTGTCGCGTAATCGGAAATATAACATTTATACTAATTTAGTTGCACGCGTCAAACAAATTAATTAATTTTATTCGATATTAAACTTTATTACATTTCCTTTACTCTGATTTTGGATCTTAAGAAAATTACGCAGTCTCGAGAGGATAATGACGTAAATCATTACTGTAAAATATCAGAATTTTTTTGATATGCAAAAATGCTATAATAACTGGTAAATAGTCGGCCGAGTTTTACACTTCGTATCATTTCTACTGCGGAGTGACAGTTATATACGATTACACTAGGAGGAAAGCTGAACTGGTATTCGTTCCGGCGACGGTGAGCAAGTAGAAGGGATGGTTGAGACAGGACGACAGGAGCCTCGCGTCCGGGAAGAGTTACCACTATTGCTACTAGTGTTCCTGTCCGAAGTTGAAAAATAATTCAACACAAAGTAATGTCCTGAATATAAAATGCGCATAGGGCGTGTCAATTTCAAAACAGGTATAAGTCTAGACAGAAAACACGGTTATCGCATTTTTATTTATAGATTCGGTACAGTTTGAATTTAAGTCTACAATTATGGTGTTTTTTGTCGTGTACTTACAAGAACCATCAAACTGAAACTGAAGATAAACTTGAACATTTTAAAAAAACATGTAAAAGATATTTTTAGAAAATATTACGTCATTTAATGTATTCACGTATATTAGATTATTTTAATATTTTTTTTTTATTTTGCAATATATTCAAATTAGAAGATATTTTTATAATAATATCCTAAAATTATAATAAAATTGATTTTTTTAGTCATTATTAAATTTGCAATGTACGTCAAGCGATATTCAATAGTAAAAGATATATTTGTCTCTACATTCAGTAGTAAAGGATACGTATAGTCAGACGCGAAATTCAGTAGCACGAAATTGTCGTGTTCTTCTCTTTTATGACATCCATAAACACATCATTTATCTGTATATATAATTGACAGATATTAGTATCAGATTAAATGTAAAATGTAACTCATTTTTCAACTTTTCGACAATAAATATTTATATTTAATTGCGTGCGCGATTTTTGTCATATCTAAATTATGAAACGTTTAGAAAATGTGAAGTTATATTACGTCGCGTATAAAAAAATAATGCAACTCTATATATTATATATGCTAAAAATATTATGTATGTTAAATTGAGCGCTAAAAAATTATATGGTTAAATATATTTTCGTCGTTCTATTTCTTTAATAGTTCTTTCTTCGTGCACATCATTCAGCTTTGTGCTCAAGTATGTAATCTTGCCTGTCACATTGTGACTTTTTGCTCATCTTATTTATAATTTATAACATATCAAAGCCGTGCCGCAAAGAGTACTAACGGCGTAGCAGTGGAATTGCGAATTTAGGGAGAATTATGTCTTCAGAATTCGCGATGCGCGTGACAAGAGAAATTGCCATTCGCTATAATACAAGTTCCTGCATTTGACAAATTCGAGTACGCGACATGATTTTCTTTTACATATCGGAATAAGCAGGAATAAGTAAACATCTTATTTGGTATTTATAAGAAAGACTGACGTATAATTCAACAGCGATTATGTCATCTGTATTTACTCCACGCAATAAAAATACCTACGCAAGCCAAATAAAAATTGATTGCATGCATGTATATATATATATAATATATATGCGCGTGTATATAAAATTAATTTTGTTTACGGTATATGACTTTTTCTTCTGAAAATTAAGAAAAATATAAAGACCAAAGTAACCCATTAAAATCAATACATACCTTTTTTCGTCAATACATACTTTCTTTAGTCGATAATCTGATGAGAAACAGGGCTTTTAAATATTTATACATATATACAGAAAACATTAACGGAATAAAGTAATACATTGTATATACTTATTTGCTAAAATTTCCTGAAATTCATGACGTATCCTCCGAAAAAGTCTCTTCGAACAAAAGGATGTAGCACGATACACGATATCAAATTACCTCCGCATCCTTTGGCACTATGTGGCCTCTGTAATCCCATTGACTTAAAGAACGCTCTCAAAGAAATATCGTGAATTGCGAGGGCGAAAAGAACGTTCCGGAACATTGAGATCAAATGGAGTATATCGCAAGTCATTTAATGAAATGAATTATTTGCGCAAACCTAAATTTATGAGACAGTATACGAAGAATGTTGTGCTAGGACATTTTGTCTTTATTTCCATCACCATTTGTATGAAATTCCCACAAATTACTTATCATCTTCTTACACGCGATCGAGGAATTGAGAAGATATACAACATTTTTTGTACTTTTATTAGCAAAAGAAAAGTTGATGCTTTGAAGGACAAGGAGAACTGACTTTTCTTCATGTAACATACATATATCATTTTACAATATTTCAAGCCCTCGATCGCATTATATATACTATAATGAACTATATTATTTATAATTACTAATCTAATTTACCTATCATGATATAACTTATTAATTTGACCATAAACATTTGCAATTTCTATTACTGCGTGCGCGAGATTGCAAAATTCTCTTCGATAATTTATACAATAATATTTATGAAATTGACCGAGTTAAATCAAGCTTAATAAATTCATCCACGATTACATAAAATATATATAAGTAGCTTTTATCGCAATCCCTCTGGAGTGCGTAATCTCTATTTTACGAATTTAATTGCTACGTTTGCGCATGTATCACATCGCGACACATTTATAAATATGTTTTTAAGATCTACAAATCTATCTTACGATCTAAATCGGCTTGGTCACATTTTAGGTACATTTTAGCATTGGAAACGGCAAGAAATAAGCGTGAAATACTGTCGGGTGTGTATGTGTGCTAGAGCAAGAAAGTTTGGCTGTTGCGCGCGAGTATTAGAAGCCACGAAACCGGAAGTAGAAGTCCGGGCCAGTGCCTGACGTTACTTCCGGAAGAGACGTATCCGGCGTCACGTTGCATGGCTTCCGTGCGTTCCTCTGTAACAGAAAAGTAAAAAAGAAAAACCGAGCGTCAGCAGTGCTACACTCGTCAGCGATCCTCGTATCGCCCTCGTAATCGTGATATGAATATTTACGACTGCGCGATATCGAATTAACGCGGTTTTACGCGATATCATCTAATGAGTGTCATGTCAGTAAGAACGTTTCACACGAATAGACATTGAAAAATTGCCGTATTAGGATATTGAATCTGTATATCGCGCGTACGCTGGAAATCTTGATACTTTTTGAGAATAATGACACTACCCACACTCGTAAATCAATGTCACTCCAAGATTATGGGATTATAGGTTTCCCCATGTTACAAGGCATCCATTAATTATCGCGTTGTTTGAGGGATGTCGATACGCATTTTTCCGTGTTATTTCTTCATTCTTCGCTATTTAAACTCGACATGTGTTGCGAAGATCGATTTAACAGTGTTTAATTACATCCGCAGTATATATATATATACATATATTTTGTAAATATAATTAATACGAAAATTTTTTTACAGAAACGTCACATTTTTCTATTTTATATGTGAATCTTTCGAAATATATTTTGAATTGCAAAAAAGATGATATAATTTATTACATTTTGAAATAAATTAAACAGCACTTGCTTGTCCAATTTAAAGCAGTCAGTTTAAACCGCATATGACAGTTTTACTCCAAAACACTTGCAAATGGTCTGATATCTGGCATCTGCATATTACCCCAAAAATATCGACGACGTGTTCACAAACTCTCCGTACAATGTACGATGTAAATGATACATAGCCGATGCTAAAGAACATGCTTCGCACATATGGCGCCCTAGCACGTGTAGACGCATTCAGCTGTGCTTACACGCGAGGGCGGTTAGTTTTGCCAAGATTCAATCCGCAATATTTCCAGGAAGGCGCCGACGGCGAATGACCGTACATCCCGGCAAGTTCAAAAGAGTCGTAAATATTTCAATCGAGCTGCCATCGCGAGCATAAATTATTTCGTGGCGTTCGGAGCAGAGCGGAGGGAATAAAGGAGAAATGTTTCTCGCGCTTTGATCTCGAGCACGAATCCATTTTCGTTCTCCATTTACGCATCGGGATGTATCTATACTCGATCGCGTCGCTGGCCGATGTAGAAAGTAGTTAAAGTCTTAATGAGACGAGGAAACCTTAATTCGAACCGCCGGTGGTCCTTTGAAGCTTAGATTCCAATCGCGCCTTCATTCTCACAGTTCTTTACGACCATTAACGCGCGGCGAGAACGAGCTGAACTTTACAGAGAAACTGCTAACAGGTACTTTATTTTCTGAAATTACGCTTTTAACGACTTCTTCTCCGATTACGCAGCGTTGATCTTTTAATGGTAAGAATATCTCGCGGTACGCGAACAAACTCACCGTGTTGCTTCGTGATCTTCAAAAGAAAGGAAGTGTTTATAATTTTAAATGTGTTTTATGATAAAAGAATTATTACAAAGTGTTAAATTCTAAAGGCAATTTTGATACCCTTTAATCAATTAATTATTATTATTAATTAATTGTAGGATAAATTGATTAGAATGGGCAGTAGTAATAGTCCGCACAAGGCAGCCATACAAAGCGTAACAACGAGATCTCTTCTCGATGAATCACGCGCATTTAGTAGAAGGACATGAAGTTATCGATACGATCGATCACATCATAAGCATGTGATCATCAATATTCCAACCCAATATTTGAATTCATGCACGTGTGCCGACTAATTCCAGATTAATTATTAATTTCGTGGTATGAATATGCGGAATAACAAAGATATTACGAGATATAAATTCAGTTCTATGATTGCCGTATAAACTCGTTATTATTTTGCTTATTTCCTGCGAAGAATATATCTTTTAACTCTTATATACATTATGCGTATACTGCAGTATACTGCAATATACAATATTAGTTTAACGTTTCTCTCCCGTGAGCATAAATTTTTTACCAGCTCCCATAGCTACATAGTTTGAAAATTTAATAACATTTCCTGCTAACAATCTGTTGACAATTTCATGCATCGTTATGTTAAAACGCAGTTTACGCGATAAAGCGATAATTACCGGTACGCGTGGCGCAGAATTCGATGTGAATCGATAATGATCGGCTGGTACTGTATCAATAGCGCGATCTCTAGAATCCAGGCGACAATATGCTGCCGAAGCATGTCTGCGTACTGCCGGGTATGCGCCCGATCAGGTATTTGTACGAAAGCAGCGGCGTCATTAACCGTATATGAATTGCGCGTTCAATAGAGGCGTGCTTGCGATCACTACCATGAACGCCGTGCATTCGTGTTAGTGTAACGGGGAATGCGACACGCGTGCTACGGCACGCAGCACGCATACGCGTCGTAACTGTACGCGTCGATTAAAGCGGAAGCAAAATCCTTGCACGTGTGATGAATCTACACGTACTCCAGCAGTAGGGCGACGAGGATCTATCACGAGCAGTTTGCGCGAGTGCGCGTATATACGGTAACATTTGACAGTCGATATCTACTTAGCACCTCTCGCATGGACAGTGTAGAATGCAAATGACGCGCAAACGTGTGTGCTTGATTATATTACCGAGTGTGTTGTTGCATCGGCTTCAACCACCGTTTCCCCGAGTTTCTAAGAAAATTCATTTTAGCGAAACACGTTTTATTCTTCTATACAAGAATCTCGTTATACATGCATCATTTAATAGAGTATTTTATTTTATTTTATTTTATAAAGAATTTTATAAATGAAATCTTAAAACTAGTGTAATTTAATTTCTTTTTGCCTTTTTGCGATTCATTAAAACTTAAAGCATCGGCTTCAACCATGATTTCGAATCTAAGAAAATTTATTTTAGCATACATTTATTTTATTTTATGAAGAATTTTGTAAATGAAATCTTAAAACTAGTGTAACTCAATTTCTTTGAAAATAACCGAGAACGGAAAAATTGATACTTTTGATTATAAATAATTGTTAAACGCAGTTCTGACAATTAAGATTGCATAATGTTTTTGCCTTCTGCGATTCATTAAAACTTAAAGCAAGATGCGACTTTGGAATATTACGGCTAATTCATGATAAATAATTAGAATTTTTCCATTATCATTTTTTTATTAAAAAAAAAAGTCTGGCTCGTGATTTTCCATTAATCTCCAGCTATTTCAACTTTTTCGTTTTCTCAAATATTGCAACTTTCTATTATTCAGCGTCGCTCTTCATACCAGAGTATTTATAAGCTTTCTCTTTTAAAAATTGATCTCAATATATTATAAAATAACACACGCTTTATTATAAAAGAATTGATTAGCAGGCTGTGGAAACGAGAACGATATTAAAAATTAATTTTCAATCTGAGATAGCAGTTCAAGGTACAGATCGCAAAGTATTCGAGTACATAATTCTTCTGGTGAATCAATAATGTTTTCGGAATTATTTAGAGATAATATAAAAGAAAAAAAACAATGTGTGCGCTATCCTTGACCGTAACTAATTAAAAAAATTTAATTACACAATATACAATATTAAAAGATACGTGTGATTATGCGATTAACATGTAGCCGTGCTCTGATTGAAGCTGCGTTAAATTACATGCGCCGTTTATATAATTACCGACTCGATTTTTTAATGAAATATCAGTATATATTAAGTACGAGAACGTGCATGATAGCCGTGCGAAATTATAATGATCTACGAGCGTTGAAAGTTCACAAGTAAGTTGCACTTTAGCTCATCCGCCCGCTTTTAGCAACTCCTTTAGACAGTGTCTCGGAAACTGCTGGCTGGCTTTACAGAATTATGCCTGAAGCGAGGCGAAAAGAGTACAAAGTTGTTTAAAAATGGAAATCTTTAGTTAATATACGCGATTTACCGCTTTGCCATTCTCTGCCTGCATATTTAAAAATAATTACTTTGTACCCGGCTAATATAATATAAATTTCGGATAGATAAATATAATGAATATAAAATATTTTCAGAGATTTCTTCGCATAATAAACGAGAAAGTTAAAGGATCAAGGGCCTTAGTTTAAATCCATTTGTCGAGCCGCTATAATCCATACTGTATCTGGACTAATACGAGCGCTTTAACTGGCTCAGAAGATATATCCATTAAAGTGTGCGTATTGTTGTATCAAATGAAATAAATGAATTCCATGGAATTTACAAATCCTCATATTGTGCGGAAAAATTCGTATAAGAGACTCGAAACACATGAGTTTCACTTTGTTCGAGTATTTTGGATAGGAAATTTAATAATATTATGCGTTAAGAGGACACGAGACACCGCGAGAAGTACGGAGCGCGAGATAAGGAGCGAGAAGAGAGATCCAGAAGAGCAGAGAGTTTGGAGCTGGTATAAACGACAGTCTGGGGAGCCGTTAGGTATTAAACTCACTGCAAACTTCCGCAGTCCGTCGTGCTCGATATATATTTAAAATATCGTGGAAGTATCCATGAATCGTCTAGACTGAACCGGCGACGTACCGAGGCACCAGGGATTCATAGGATGTCGGAAAGTGATATCATAACTCGCTACAATGGAACGTCCCGATTTACGAAGCTACTTAACGCATGTTTACCTCTCTTGTCGTTTCGTAAACGATTTTAATCGATCTCCTCAATATTGCAATGTAAATGTCATTCTCTTCTGTCGTAAATGTATTCTTTTTATTCGCGTTTGTGTAATATATTTTTTTTATGCACGAAGAGAATGTTTGAAAGAATCGCGGTAAAAGAAATGCAAACATCGAGAATCGTATTAAATACTAGAATCTTTTTCATGCCATCATCGAAAGTCCGCAGAACGAGCGGCAAGATGGTGAGAGCTCGAAGACAAGCGAAAAAAGAGAAACAAGAAGAAGGAAGAGCCGCGTTTGAATCGAGATAGTGAAATTAAAAGAGGTCAAAAGAGAGAGAGGAACTTTGAACGAAACTCTCTCGACCCTCTCCTCAGGCGTTCTCCACCTGTCATTCTGGACGAAGCCGGATAGCAAATGAGCAGAT